AAAGCAAACTTAAAATGACTGATTTATAACTGAAAAAATGGCATGAATTGAATGAAGACAGAGAGAGGAAAAAAACACACAGAGAGAACGAAACAACAAAAAGCTGAAGGATAAGGAACATACCGAACTAGATTTACGATAGTTGTAAAGGCTGGACTAGTTTCTTTTGAACACATAGCTCCGTCTTTTCGATGCATATGGCGAGAGCTTCCGCAGAACAAAGAAGTCGGAAGCACACTGTGGCAGATTCTCTAGCTGCGCACTACTTCAGAGCAACGGGAAGGACAGGTTTCCTCATATGAACACTTCAGTGTACATATATCAGTTCACCTGCTCTTGCGGAGGTAGATAAATTGGTCGTTCTATGCGGGTTTTATCAAAACGTGTTAGAGAATAACATCCAGCATGGCTGAAAAAAGAGGCACTGGCTCAATCAGAAGCGCCATAACTGAACACCTCGTCAATACCTCAGCTGACTCACCGTTCAGAGTCCTTTACAAAGTAAACAAAAATCTACCAAAGGCAGTGTGTTTCCGACTTCTTTGTTCTGCGGAGCTCTCGCCATATGCATCGAAAAGACGGAGCTATGTGTTCAAAAGAAACTAGTCCAGCCTTTACAACTATCGTAAATCTAGTTCGGTATGTTCCTTATCCTTCAGCTTTTTGTTGTTTCGTTCTCTCTGTGTGTTTTTTCCTCTCTCTGTCTTCATTCAATTCATGCCATTTTTTCAGTAATAAATCAGTCATTTTAAGTTTGCTTTCATTCTCCTCTTGATCACACTTGTAGTCCGTTTAGAATAACAATTTTACAATTATATTCTAATCCTGTTAATTTTTTTGTTTTTATGCCTCTTTTAATCTATATTCACACCTCCTAACTTACATTTCAAGTTGAAAATTTTGATTTCAATTTGTTTCCATGCTCATTTTGTTCACACCTATAATTCGTTCTATCCCTGCGTCTCTAAGGCTCTTGTAATTCATATCAAGTGGAAAATATTTATCACTTTTTATTCGCCTTTAAAATTATTTCTCAGTTATCAAATATTAATTTTGCATACGTTGTAACTATTTTCTAATCCTATGAAATCTTATCTCTAAGCCCCTTGTAATCTATATTCCTACCTTCAAACTTTCATATCAAGTTGAAAGTTATTATCTCCTTCGTTACTATGTAAAATTAAATAAATAATAATTGTATCCATATAAACTAATGCATATAAATGCGATTGTACAGCTTTTGAGAAAGAAATCGCCGAAAAGATATCTTTACTGAACTTCTTGTTCTTTCCCCTCTAATATACATGTGTCTTGTTTGTTCTAAATATATTGTCTTAGTTAAATTCATAGTGGTTGCTTTAAAGCACAATAATTTCTTTGAAAATGTTTACTAGGTAGTTTTACATCGACTTTGTTTAGTTTCACGCTTTACTTACTACTGATTGACTGAGATGAGTACAGTTGGATACTACTCACATCAACTTGTAGTGTTTCTTAACTAGCTAGAATAGTCAAAATTGCGAATGTCATTTACGGTGTCACCACTTCGCCCAGGTAGTTAGCCGGAAATCGGTGGATTTGAGCTGACTCGGCTCTCAGAGCTGAGCTAAACTGGGTACACTGTGGATGAACCTGGCTCCAAACATGTGAAATGACCATCCATTGTTTAGATTACTTTGCCATGGCTAGTAAACATTACTACACTCAACACTACTCATCTCAATCAATAAGTAGCATATAGCGTGATGTATGTATGCTTATTTTCTTGATTACGTCTTTATGGTACCAAGCAGATGACTAATGATGATCCGAATACTCTTGGTTTCCAACGCAAACAGTGGTGAAATAAACTCCTTGAACTGTGAAAATTACAAGTTAATTTTCAAACTCAGGATTCAACTAAGATGGTTCCTACTTTTAATCTAACCTGTATCCATTCTAACTTTGTGGAATATTGGGAAGTGTAGGAACCTTCTTGAATTGTGAATTTGATTTTTTTGCTAAACCCATGAATTTATTTAAGACTTTCCTTTATGATATTACTAGGCGTGTGTTAGTTAACTTCTGTGTGTAGTTCACATAGAATTTATCTATGTGTAAATCTATATAAGTTTCCAAATTTAAATAAAGCTATATCAACCTTAGTTTATCTCTAATGTGTTTATAAAATACTTGAATATCAGACGCCATAGTTTACATTCCTATTATTGGATTTAGAATGAAATGTAAAGTGTATGAGTTGCAGAACTTTATTTCACATTATTTTAACAATCTAATACTCAAGTATTGTGCGTTTCTCTTAGTTTTATTTTCACTTCTTGTTGATTGATTATATTCTGCTAAAGTGCTTGGTTTCTGTCGACATGTTGATTCCTCCTAGGAATGCTCTGATAAAGTCTAGAGGCAGAGAAGAAGCGTACTTCAGTTCAACACATCCAATCAACGGGGAATTCAGAAAATTGAACTGTAGAATTAATAACTGAAACCCATCGTTGGCTGTCGTGGTTTAATGGCTCAGGATTCAGGTTTCACTGGAACTTTATCGCTCAGTGGTGAGACAGGTACGTCCAGTTGATGAGTCCCAACATATGACGAATTATGCATTCTGAATTCCACTATTAGACACCAGCAACTGAACACTGAGGTGTTTGATTCACTTACTGAATTGTCTCATGATTCCTCCCGATAAACCAGTTGGCATATATGTGCCACTTAATAAACCTAATTTAATAAAAATGGATGTCAAATATGATATTGTTTATTTGATCAAAGGGATGACTGAAAAGTAGGATGAACTAAATAATAATTTAGAGGATATTTTATTTCACGTATGTACGATTGATTTGTATCATGTAGGGAGGTGCAAACTGAATGGTTGAGGTTTTCAAGATGCTAAGAATCAATAACTGTGGACTGTTGGTGATATGACTCGAAATTGTAGTCAATAGTACGTATACTTTTACTCATTGTAACCCTTATTCCTTATTATTAATCTTCTAGTAATTATTCCTTACCACCCAAATTTTCATTCGTTATAATTTCTTTGCATTACTTCTTTTTTTTAAATTTCCTAGCATTGTGTATGGTTTTATTAAGTTTGGTGACTTAAAGTGGGATGCATTATTATGCAAACTTCTACTATGAAAACTCTTCCAGTACTTGACTGCATAATCATAGAATAATGTTTCATAAATTCACCGATAAGGTTTATTGTTTAGATGAATTATTGAGATTTGGATATTACTTTAGTTTCAAGTTTTTCAAGAATCCTTCAATTTTTCAAAAGAATGGCTACTGAACAAAGAATGTTATTTTCAATAACTTGATCATCAGGTTCGACAGTTATATATGCATTGTGGTGAAAGAATTACGGTTGTTAACAAAATTATTGTTTAAATAACATTGAATCAATAATAATATCATTATAAGTTTCCAGACCGTAGATGTTATGAACTTCCAGTAATAATATCAGTGGATTACAGTTCGATAGCATCAACATAACAATGCACTCAGTATCAGAAAAATTAGAAAAATTAATAATACAAATTTTATGAATTTATAGTCTCCACTGAAGGCTGGCCAGGGCAGTAGTATTGGCTGGACTTACTTCTTCTGAACACAGAGCACCGGTTGTTTAAGGCGAATCGCTATGGCCTCTGCCAGGATGTTTTCGGTAATTTGTTTAGTACGCGGTAGATGATGCAGCAAGATTCTTCGATGCTTTCTGGCTTTGTAGCCGGTTTGAACCAGGTGGTCTAATATCGAACTGTTGATGGTTTTTACTACACCTTTATTTAACCACATTGGTAGATGTTCTCAAGTGAGCACCAAAAATCGATATTATAGAGCAACGGCCTATATAACTTGCTCCACCATAAGCGCAGTTGAATTGATAGATACAGTCAGAGGTGGCTAGTCGAGCTACTTCATGTTTCATATCTACTCTTCGAGAGTTAACTTGATGTGAGGCTTGGATTCTTATTATTTGTACAATCGTCATTAATCGTCTTATCTTCAGACATGTTCTAACAAATGTACGAGTAATTTCTACAGAATAATTGCTGATATTTTGCGGCACCAATCACGGCATTGTTTCAACTAAAGACGGCGCAAATGAAGATACCAAAATCAACCAGGATCTGAAAGACGACACAGACCTTCATCATTCTAAAATCGGTCTGGAAATCTACTGCACACAGCATAAAGTACAAGATTCTAATTTTAAACACCGATGTCAAGTCAGTTCTTCTATATGCATCAGAAACTTGACGAACGCGCCAGCAAAGGTATTTCCAACAGGATGCTGCAGACGTTTATGGACAGCTATCTTCCCTGGCTTCATACTCAGTAACAGACTGTCGGCCAGAAAGAATTAGCAACAAGGAATTCTGGGAACGAATCAATCGATAACCCATAGCTTAACTAATATGCCAAAGATGAAGGTGGAGGAGACCAAAAAGTGACATCACACGCCAGACTGGCCCTCCAGTGGAGCTCAAATGACAAACGACGAGTTGGGTATAGGTATGAGGGTGATATGTGAGACAACGTGTGAGAGGGCGATGACAGCTTATTGGTAGTCGTGTAGCCGAATGAGAAGGACTCCAGAGAACAGGATAAAATGTAGAGGTGCTGTTAAAGCCGTATGTCCCACTCTGAACCTATGTAAGCAATACTAATTTCTACCGTTTTATGTTTCATTTCTTGATTTAAATTACTTTATTTGCCACTTCTACTTCCCTCCTCAATGATCCAACTAAAGTAAGGTTTGAAGAAGCAAGTGGTAGGCCTAGATTTGCTGTAAATAACTGTATCTAAACCACCAGTAGGTTTTAGATGTATCTTTCACTCTAATATTTTCATCTTTCCTTCCTCACCGTCCTATTGAAAAATAGTTGAAATTGAATTTATAACTGAGTTTACGTATTGTGAATACATTTCATTTTGATCATAACAACTTTATAGAAGAAAAATACATATAATGGTTGGAATCATCTCACCTGTTCGCTTAATACATTTGCCACATTCTCCACTTGAATCAATTCAACTTTCCCTTGAAGATCAGGATCATTACGTACAGCTGTAAGTAAAGCATTGTGTAATCGAAAGACAGTATGATTGTGTGACGCCAGTGTACCAGTTAACAAGAGAACAGGGCACCTAAAAGAATTTAACAAAGAATAACGTCAAGAAACAAAACAGATAAATTCGTTTGTTTTGTTTTTACACGCGCATAAGTTCTTCGAATACTTTTTTTATTGATAAAACCAAATATATTTGATCTTTTCTGGACTATCAGCTCCGTATCTATGTAAATGAGTGTCTCTACATTAATTTTCATTTTTATACTGATGTAATTCATCTCAGGATGGTGTTTCATCTTGCCTTTCCTGTTGGATATTACGTGGTACACTGTTGCACGCAAATGAATGTTCCCAGAATAGTACAAATCACCTACTCTGTATTGCATTCAGAGGCAATATTGAAGACATATCACCGTGATCGTTTTCTCTATCATAATGAATAAATACTTATGTATGTTGAAAATAATTTACTGTAAAGAAAAGGCACTACTATTTTGAACGAGACAGTTATTTAATAATTATATAATGTCGTCAACAATAATGACGATGAATAATTCATTTATGATTCGCCCTAGTGTTTTACCCAATGCTTCTTTTACAAACCAAAATTCATCCTCATCGTAGCGTAATTTTTATTTCAGTATTGATTTACATAACGAATAAAAATCGTCAACTTGATTCTTCGTTTATTTAATTCCCTACTGTTCATTTTAATTAATTCACAAGATACCACTAGCCAGAAGTGGGTCAGTTAAAGGTGTTACACTTTGAAACACCATGAACACACACACACACACAGATATATGCACAGGCAAACAAGAACTGTTTGACATAACAATGAATACAAGTGACTGCTAGGGGATAGATAGAAAGTCATTCAATATAAAGATTAATGATATGTAGAATTTCACAGATGATGAATGAAAAATATCTATAGTAGTTCTGAAAAATTTAATTAATTTTGATTAAGAATTTCTGTCTATTGACGTTTTATTTCTGAAAATTGGTTATGCTCTTTCTTTTCACCATTAATTCTTGGTTAATCAAATAGCTCTTTTTATCCTAACTTGTGTTTCAGACATGTGGTAACGTCTTTTGTACAAAGAAAATTTCATCGACTTTGCATCGAATAGGGTCGTTTGTGTGTGTGTGTATGTGACAAATAGTTGTTCTTTAGTCTTTACAGTCAAACAAAAACAATCCTTTTCTCTTTACATATTTTTGAGGAAGAAACCGAATTTTACAATGTCAGTAGCTGGACTGAACTAACTGCCGCACAAACTTCTATAAACTGATAGTTTTGTTCAGTCGATCAGTCACTTTTTTCATCTTCTTGATTTTCTCCTACCTCCTAGACCTTTTCTTAAAACAGTTTCTTCTCAATCACATAACTCTGTAATCATAGCTAGAAAGTTGAGCCGTAGAAACACTGTTTGTGGTTTCTTAAAATCCCATTGTTAACTGTATACTGGAGTTCTGAATTTTCAAAACTGAACTGAGGTGAAATGAACTGAGATTTCCTTAATCTATGTAGAATTTTATTTATTGATAATGTACTAACTGGATGCAACACTGTAGTAAAATGCTGAGAATTCCATTCTGTATCACAAGTACTGTTTTGGAATAAAGCAAATTATTATTATTATTATGTAAAATTGGACAACTGGTCTTTCTAGACAAAACTCTGGTATCTGAAGATTTGTAAGTATGCTATCTCTCTCACTCTCTCAGGAAAATATGGAAGACTCAAATACAATCATTTATTTAATCTTAGCCGACTGACATGATGAATCTACAGAATTCATCCTGCGATTGTCATGTGATTATTTGGTCACTTTCTGTGGCATTGCTGTTGTATGGATGACACTGAGCGTAGGATAACAACAGATAGTCGTTTCTAGGCTATCTGTCTGAATAGGCCCACTATATTATAGTGGGAAACATCGTGCTCCTCCTCGATGACTTTTCCATCACCTCCAATTTTGGACTCACTGACTGCAGATCGAAAAAAGTTGACTAGTGTGACTTTTTCAGAAGCAGTTAGTTTGCTCATGAAATCAAGATAAATAATATAAGGCCATATGAGTGGATGAGGCCGATCCAGTCTGAAATGTATATTAATGTATATATGAAGCCTAGTGCAGGTGAAGTAACACAGGTGGCTTTTCCAAAACATGTTCAGATGACCGTTTGTTTCTGGACAATTTTGACAACAAACCAACGCTGTACACAGATTGATAACTTTGTGTATAATTGTTGATTGAGAGGATTAGTGGAAGACTAGTGCATCTGTGTGCTGGCTACCGAATGGATGTAGGCATTTACTTTTTTGGATTTAGCCTAGATTTCACTGAGTATTTCTCTGAATATGCCAATATTATCCTGTATACTGATTTCTGGTTTGAACATAGTAAATGAAGCGGTTGAATTTATTGACCACTTTTCCTCTTCTGTGAAGTTGAATCTGATAAGACTATCTGGCTGCTGATGAAATATGGATTGAGATATGGAAGATTCCTCTGAAATTTGTATCATCTTTGGCTCAGAAGTGATGCTTCTTTTTCCAATAACTGGTTGTGTTTAATACCCAACTTTTCATTCTCTCCCACTTTAAATTCTTGACACACTACTGCTGAGAGTAGAATAAAAAAAAGAGGATCTTGAGGCCTATGACCATAAATGCCTTTGTCAAATCTACGAATTAAGTAAAGGATTACGGTGGTCAGACTGAGAGTGCTGGGAAAAGAGTGTAGCTCTATAAGCGAAATTATGAATTGACTTAGATGGCTACGTTAATTACAACATATGTGAGCTATCGCTTTGTTCAACACGTGATGTCAGCTAAGGTGGATTGAGGTATAGAAAGAATTAGGCCATGGTTAAACCAATGCATAGTTTAATGACTGAGTGATTATAATAAGGCAACAAAAATTGGGTGTTATTGAAAATTAGGCTTTAAACGATTGACCAGATAATATGTGGTCATTCTGTAACCTGACTTCCCGAAGATGATAATTCTTGTAGCAACAATTACACACTGTCGAAAAGAATGAAGCATCTCTACAGTGGTAGTTATTTTCTATCGATTTCTCAATTAATTTCAGTTTATGAAGACATCTGTCATCAAATCAAATCTTCCCTCTTTTGTAGACTAACTTGATTCGCCCTATAAGTAGACTGATCATACTAATAACTGCACGGGATATAAAAATTTCACTGATTAAGCAAACATATTCGACAAACAATTAGCACGTGTACTATGGAGTATATATTTCATATAATCTTTGAGTTATTGACGTAACGTCATAAACCAACAGCAGTTAGAAATCACTGAAGACCAGAGAACACTGAGAAACAGTTTCGTCTCACTTTGAGACTATTCATCGCTCCAGTACTCCCCGGTTTTCACTGATTTCAAATTGATATTGGTTCGTGACGAGATCTATACTGAAATTAATCCAAATACATAAAAATATCCCATAAAATTTAATCTGCAGCTCACTGACGCCTAGTAGATGGATTTCCTGAAGCTATACTGAAAAGTCGTAAACAGTGAGGTCCATCATGCCGACACAGTGAAGTAGATGTCCTTCAAAGGCATTGATAAAGATGGCGGTATGTCAGGAATTAACAAAGTAAGAATGCACAGGTCATTTGATTTCTGCTCAAGTGAATAAATGGTCAATGAGCTTGATCTTACAATCTGAAGGTCCTGAGTTGAACTCCTGGCAGTGTAGTCGTGCGTGCGAACCGACGAAGAGTCTTAAACTGGGACGAAACAGCTGTCCAGTGCCTTCCGGTCTTCAGATATCTCCAAATGATACTGGTTCATGACAAAATCTACATTGAGAATGATCCAAATCCCGCTAAAAATACCTACAATCTAAAGGTATAACTCTGTTATTTACTAACATGTTTTTGTTTATAATTGTGGTAGTTGAATACCATTTTATTTTACCCTTTCATCTAAGTATAAACGCTCACCTGATTTGATCAACATTCTCCAAGATTTTTGTTCGTCTAAATAAAAAAAAATATGAGAAAGAAAGAATATTTAGAAAGTAATCGTAAAAAGTGAAGAAAAAACAGACAAATTTACCCATTAATAAATAGGTAATGTTTGAAATCGCTTAGAAATTGACTGATAAATTATGATAATAGCAGTAATTGCAGGCAAATAGTTATTGAAATATTTGGGTTGAGTAGTTGAAACTTTGACATACTTGGGTTAATTTGGTTACCAGATGAAAAGTATAGAGATCAAACTGAAAAGTGATACAGTCAATACATAGAACAGGAAATAAGGTAGATTCACATGTGATTTTGGGAGTAATGTTGTTGTCACTATAACAATAAATAATAGTTGGTTTCAGTTATGATAGATGGTTGTATGGCCTGTTCTACTCATAAGATTTGTCAGTAGCATATAGAGTATCGACATAAATACATCAAATAGCACGGAGATTCATTTTATTTCAGAGAAGGCAAATGATACAGCGTTGTGGAGATACATGGGAGACGTGAAAGGAATATAAAGAAACACAATATGATGGAAGGGCGGAAATAGCACAACACGAAGATCTGTGCAAATGGTGTGTTGAAGATAAGGCGTGCATACTTTGACTGCATAGAGATACCAAATTCCTCGTGAACACTCCTACACCTAGTCTTCGTCTTCTGCAGTTACAACTGTAGCTACCAGTAAAACGAAGAACACAATTTACAATTAAAGAAGGAATCTGCAGTTGGAAAATGCACCTGAAAGCCTACATATCTTGTTGATCTTTAAGGAAATGCTCCGTCTATCCTTCTGTATTAAGAAGCTAAGACGACCCAACCTCTACTTTTACAATGTGTTAACTCTTGCACCTTATTGTTCTTTACTGCTACCGTATAACCTTTCGTGAACTACTCAATTGGGACTATGTCTTATCGCAAAGAGTATTAAAGTTTGTCAGCAGGGCAAGTGGTGTATCTCTAAGTTAGACTGTTACTACCGCAGTGAACAGGCAACTGAACTCATGAGAGAAACGGGCTAAATCCCATATTGCCAGACTTTCAACATCCTGTCTATTATCAACACTCCCCACCCTGCATCTCATCAGGTAGGACTAGAAGTCATTATAAACGGTTATATGGTCGTACAACTAAATAGAAAAACTCAACAATACCCTATTTGGACCACCCACGTTCTATGTGACAGAGATTGTGCTAGGCATAAAACCTATAACTTACCATGCAAACGGCAAAACAGTTGACTCTGTTACTTTCTTCTATTTGTAATTGATGGTAATAATATTTCCGTTGTCCTATAATTTTAGTTATTCACATTATTATTGTCAAAATCTAGAACTTTTTGTATATTTTTGACTTTACCATTACATCTAATACCAAAAAGCTGCTGTATCATAAGCACTGTTTTGGAATAAAGCAAATGATTATTACTATTATTGTTGTTATTAACAACATTTACTTCACACGATAAAGCTTTGTGCCCCCTCCCTCAAACTATTAAGCTAAAAGATATACCCCTTGTAAGCTGACTTTTGGTTGTTATTTAAAAAAAACTTATGGTTTCCCCAGTTTTCATTTTACTGAACTGAAACTATCTGTAAGAAACTATTGGAGGTGAATTCAAGTTTCCCATGCAAAGAGCATTGATTCAATGACGTACAGATATGTTCAGCTGGCAATTCTCAAATAAAAACAAAATCTATGTCCTGGACTCAATTGGACTCAACCTTTTAATATTATGATAAAATTGAGATTAAAAGGAGTTGACAAAGCGTCAAGTTTAGAGTCCTTTATATTAAAAGAACCTAGTAGCTTCAGTATAATGAAGCACTGTCTCTAATCTGGTTATATGCGGAAATGTTGTGTTGATGGAACAAAAACAAGGAATTTGGATAAAGTGGAAAGCACAGTTTGTGCAGAATAAAATGGTATCATCATTTATTTTGTCGGCCACTCATCATCAGATCAGCTGCACACAGCCTAAATTCATTATTAAGTTTATGCACAAAAACAGTTTGAACATACTTACACAGAGAATTCATTTTTAAACAGAAAATCAATAAATGCATACAATCGTAATAATAATAATAACCACTTTATCCCAAACAACAATAATAACCATACGTCGGTGCGTCGGTGGCACAGTGGTTAGGATTCTCGCCGACCATGCACATGGTCCGGGGTTCGAGCCCACGCCGACGCACACCTGATATCTATGGTCGGCCTGCGAAATTTGGGCTGCCGATATCCATGCTGAAAATTCCATACTTGTAGCAAAAATACGGTGTGGAATCAAGCTGTAATCAAAAATAAAAAAAATAAAAAATAACCATACACAACGGAATTTTCTGGCGTTGCGCAATGAAATGAGAGAGGGGAAGAAAGCATCTAGTTACCAGGGTTACGGAAGAATGATAACCGCTTCTTTCCGAACACATAAGTTGGGCTTCTGAAGCTTGATAGAGATTGCTCCGGTAAACGTAAACAGAATTGAACTCTTTTGCCTATTGATGATTTTGAGCAGCCCTGCAATGACCAGTTCATGACACGTGTCAAGCAGATACCTGACGATTAGACTGTTGGAAGTAATTGTTCCCTTGAGACGTAGGAGTTTTGGTACCTGTTCAGAAAATCGGAGGTATACCTTTATTTCTGTTCTTCTAATGCAACCACTCCCACAGATACATGTAAATTTGTATATACAGTTGGAATTACCATTAGAAGATTATCTATCGAATTTTGATTGCGTTGCATGGCACCTGAAAGCCAATTCATGTGTCCAGAAAGAAGCGGTTATCATTCTTCCGTAACCCTGGTAACTAGATGCTTTCTTCCCCTCTCTCATTTCATTACGCAACGCCAGAAAATTCCATTGTGTATGCTTATTATTGTTGTTTGGGATAAAGTGGTTATTATTATTATTACGATTGTATGCATTTATTGATTTTCTGTTTAAAAATGAATTCTCTGTGTAAGTATGTTCAAACTGTTTCTGTGCATAAACTTAATAATGAATTTAGGCTGTGTGCAGCTGATCTGATGATGAGTGGCCGACAGAATAAATGATGATACCATTTTATTCTGCATGAAATGTGCTTCTCGCTTCATTCAAATTCATTGAGGAAATCATATAAAGGGGTATACAACTGAAGAAGTCTTAGTAGATTAAAAATGATTAAGATAGAAAAAAGAATAGAAAGTGAAATGAAAACAAATCATGATAGTAACGTGAAATGTAGGCAGATTTTAATTCCTTTATGCATAAGATTTTTATTTTGATAAATCACACAGTGTTGTACAGTAATATTAACTGATGACAACGTTTCAAGCACAAACTATTGCTGATAATCAAATCAAGTCACTCACACGTTTTGCCTTCATTTATATACGTGTGTGGAATCAATTAGATATTGGAATAAAAATCAATGTGGGATAATGTACATTCAGAAATAATATTAGTGTTATCAATCAAATACAATCAGATGGGAAATAAGACGAGTGTTTTATAGTCATAATAAGTTACTTGTTAGAATGTTGTGATGTACGTGAATTGAAATAGAATTTTGAGATTATTTATTATCCTCTTCTGATTTGACTGTTTGATGGTAATAATATCTTCCATATTCCTGGTATTTGCATTGAGTCATTTCTGTTGTATGTTTTGTGTTAGGTGTAGACTCGATGAACCAGGATTCAGTAATCAATCTCTCTCTGCACCTGCCTAAATGACTTTTTAGAATTTTAACCCTATCCCACCCTATTAATGGTTGTTTGTTAATGCATGAAGTGCAATTGCTGAGCTTTTTTCTAAATCATTTATCTTTTCAGGGTCAACCATTCTTACCTTAGCTGAATTCTTATGTTCTGATTATCTGAATACCCCCGACCTACCAGTTTGACCTATGTTGTTGACTTCACATTCATTGTAGGGTATTTTGTGAATTATATTATTTTGTTTAATTGGGTCCACAGGGTCTTTTAGTCTACACAGCTTGTCTCTGAGTGAGTTTTACGTTTGAATGCCACTCTAATTCCTGTTTTATTGAGAATCCTGAGTAAGATGTGTGAGATGTACCATCTTTATATGGTAAAACTGGACACTTTGTACACCGTGCAATACCTTGCTGTGACTGTGAGGTCAACAACACAGGTCAGATTAGTAGATCAGGAGTAGTGAAATTTCCTGTCAAAACACAAGAATTTAGCTACGGTTAGTATGATTGACCCCGAGAAGATATATAATTTAGAAAAAAGCTCAGCACTACATTGTATGCATTACCACACAACCAAGATATATGGGTAGCTGGAAACAGAGAAAGGCTGATTACTGAATCCTGGTTCATCGAGTCTACACCTAACACAAAACATACAACAGAAATGACTCAATGCAAATACCAGGAATATGGAAGATATTATTACCATCAAACAGTTAAATCAGAAGAGGATAATAAATAATCTCAAAATTCTATTTCAATTCACGTACATCACAACATTCTAACAAGTAACTTATTATGACTATAAAAACACTCGTCTTATTTCCCATCTGATTGCATTTGATTGATAACACTAATATTATTTCTGAATGTACATTATCCTATATTGATTTTTATTCCAATATCTAATTGATTCCACACACGTATATAAATGAAGGCAAAACGTGTGAGTGACTTGATATGATTATGAGTTGTCATCAGTTAATATTACTGTATAACACTGTGTGATTTATCAAAATAAAATCTTATCCATAATGGAGTTATATTCTACAACAGTACCCAAGTTTTATACTCATATCAGATTTTAATTGTTAGATTTTCGTCATGAATCTGTAGAAGTTAGATAAGGATCACTGGAAACCGATAGAGAATAATGAACATCTGTTTCTTTCTATTGTGGCACTCTCCAACACTGAGCACCGAGAACCCCACATTCAAGCTTTGGACTACGCACCTACTGGTTACGAGATCAAGCTCGTTGACAATTATTCAGCAATCATTAATGACCTCTGA